ATTAATTCAGACAGTCATAAACAACTTCAAAAGATACAACCCTTGTTATATAGTGCATATTGTGGAGTAATAAGTTCCCAGTAGCTCTTTTGGTGCGGAAGCGTTTATGAATTTTTGTAATAAGAATTGTAAGTAAGAACAATATTAGAATAATCTTTCTTTGTATTGAATTTATAATTGATGTGTTGAAAAAGTGTACAATGTCTTTATATTTATAGGCAAGATTATTCTCATACTTTTACTAATACTAGGAAATGGAAACTATAGTACTAATCAAATAAAAGAGAAACAACTATAAAAGAAAACTAGGCTAGATAAGCACAATTGAAAAGAAAAACAGAACTGGAAAAGGTAAATCACCATCGTAAGGAAAACTCATGCAGATTGGAAATGTTCATATTAGCTGGAAGGTCAATCTTGTAAGAATTATCGCCGATCTTTTGACAACTGCGGAAAAGACCAATCTTCTTATCTTTGATCTTATTGTATGTATCAACAAGAAAACGATTTTTTTGATGATGGATCATCACCAAATTACTTTCGTTGAACAACCTAAGGCATCGACGTTGGTCTACAGTAGTCTTGTAACGAATACTAGTATCTTCTAAATTTTGTTTTACTTCATGATGAATTCTGTGCATACGTTCTGCAAACTCTTCTGCATTAGAGTTGACATTAGGGGATCGAATCAAATCTACCATACGCCGTAGAATATTAGTGTAAACGACTTCAAAATAATTTTTCTTGTTTGATCAAATAGGCATATTGTTAAAAGAAAATTCAATCTGTAGAAGGGCAACATCCCACTGTGTTGCCCACTATTTTGGTTTATCTCCACTATTTGCTCGAATCATATTGTCAAGAGTTCAATTAGCCACTTCTGTTTGCCCATAGTTTAGGGATAACTCGTGCTACAAAACTTTTAAGAAGTATCAAATATTCTCCACGGTGTTCTCCAAAAATGACTTAGAAACTTTACATCTCTATCGGAAGTTATAGAATGAGGAATGTTGTGTAGGCAAACGAACCAAGTGTTCGAGCAAATTATCATGTCAGTCCGGTTGTCCCTCTATGAGCTCACGACTCTTATCAACAATCAACGCAGTCAGCATCACGTTGATGCTGCGAAGAGTTTCATCGATTCCTTCTGTTCATTGTTCGGTTTTTTCAAAACTCTGTTCGTAGTCAGCGGTTCGCCTACCACCAGAAACATCATTAACCATCAAATTGAGGCAATTTTCTTGCTCTGATACCAATTTAGTGCGGAAGCGGTTATGAATTCTTGTATTAAGAATTGTAAGTAAGAACGATATTAGAATAATCTTGCTTTTTATTGAATTTATAATTGATGTGTTGAAAAATTATACAATGCCTCTATATTTATAGACAAGATTATTCCCTACTTCTACTAATACTAGGAAATTGAAACTATAGTACTAATAATCAAATAAAAGAGAGAACCTATCACAACTATAAAAGAAAACTAGGATAGATAAGCACAATTGAAAAGATAAACACAACTAAAAAAATTAAATCACATTTGTAGTAGGAAACTATTAAACTTTGTGTATACAACAATAAAATTATTGGAACAAATTTTGTTAAACAAATAATGTAATAATAAAAAGACTGTAAAATATTTTAAAAAATTTGATGGAAAGTCAGTGACATCAACTAAAGTGTAATGAACCACCGTAAAAGTTTGAATAGGCAATAATCAGCAATAATGATATGTATGCTAATGTAGCCCAACAGTGAAAATGATACTCCAGTATCTGCAGATTATTTTTAAGTCGAATCTACTGAATTAAAAAATCATGTAGAAGTTACCGATCCCAGTTTGGAAATCTTCCAACAAGATAAAGACCTCCACAATCCCAAGGTTCTGAAATGAGTTTACATCTGGATAAGATACCATCTTTGGCAATTGCCTGCACATTAAAACCTCAAATTCATCACAAACCAAGAATACATCAGTTGATAAGGTTCCCAACACTTTTTTATGATTTGTTAAAACAAAATTTAAAAAAATAAATATTATTCTTGTTTTAGGGAGGCTCTATCAGCTAACTTCCAAACTATAGAAACAGGCTACATTATACTTTAATGTTTACGTATCCATAACACACCAGTGTCCGATTCTACTAACGAGCATTTTTAGCCAGACCCTATTGCAATGAACATGGCTCTCCAACACTTAAGTCCATCCAAGCAAGAACCAAAACAAAACTACAATTTACCCGAAAAGGAACAAAATGTCATCTTTGGTATCATTTATCATCTATAATTGCTCGACCACCTTACCTAAAACGCTTATGCATTTAGATATAAGAAAATATTATTTATTTAGATATTCTCTTCCACACACTCCGTGTAGGCTAGATTCAATTTTTCATCAATGGCATGGCACAAGCACATTTTTCATATATGCATGGCAACGAGACTTAAACCCATGGTCTAATATCATATCGAACCACCTCATCTAAAAGGTCACGCTTCAAAGAGGGACAAAGTACTCATTTAAATTGTCATCAACAATGATATATGTTCCTTTAAACAAAATTACCGTTACTTTTTCATACTATCAATTTTATGTAGGAAATTATTTCCTTGAAACAAAGTTACTGTTTATCATATTATCAATTTTATGTAGAAATTATTTAGTGCTTGCTAACATTCTTATAATTCAAAAGATGACATGTCTATGTACATATGTCCTAAGTCAAGGCTCTTTTTGATCAAATCTCCTAATTACTTGCAATATATGTGTTACATCTAGAGTCATGTGTATTAGAGTATGAGCAAACCAGCAGAATGTAAAATTAAATTTTGCACAATTTTACACAGGAATATGAACTTATTACTGTGAAAATGTCATTTTATGCCATAACCAGAAAATCCACCACCAGCAGCCGTTATCAGTACATAAAAGTGTCAATGACAATAGCAAGTGGACCTTTATATATAATTTCAATCGACACATTCATTTGTATAAGTTATCAATTGCTGAAACATAAACCAAACAGCGATTAGACAATTTTGTCTATCATCTTTTATTTGTACACTAATAGAATGACAAAAAATTTAGTTCTACTGCAGTAAATCACCTACCTTATTTTAAGTTAAATCAAAATAGGATTTTCATGTCAATTTTTATTCGACATATATCACAGAAGGTTCCTGTTTATATTGCATCTCACATGCAGAATCATAGACATTTTCCATCACGTTTTTATCATTACTGTCCAAAATATATCCACAACCTGTGTTACCTAAGCAATGTTCTTGTTAAAAGGTATTTAGGTCTTTTA